AACAAAGTGTTTAGCTCTTTTGTCCAGCTAGAGGTGCGCGTTCACAAACGAAATGCATTTCTTCCAGCCGTAATCACGGAAACAGGGAGGGGGGGCTTAAGGTGAAATACATTTTTCTGCCTCTAGGTGGTGCCCTCTGACAAATAACTCTGGATTGTTGCTTTAACTGTTGGTACATAGTTGGAGACACAAAATTGCAAGAATATTAAAACAGCTTCAGATTTAATTCCACTTTTGTGACACAATTTCCAAACTTTTAGACTAAGAAACCAAATCAAGAAAGGTTTAAGAGGCATGTGATGAATATTTTGAGATTTGTTCCAGAAATTTTCTATAAATTAATTAATTGAAATGGCTCAAAATGACTCCTGCAACTTACTCCAAGTAATTGAGATTAATGGTGTTGTTTTTAATTCCGTCCCAAAAGCCATTTTTGCTGACTTCAGCTACACAGAGTACTTAAATAAACCACCTCTGCACAGGCAAAACACATCATATCTAATTCAAGTCTGTCATATTGTAGTTTGTTTTGAGTGTTTTAAAATCCTGAACACTTTGAATAATCATGTTAGCTAACAAACACAAATCAAACTAACCACATCTTGACTGAGGTCAAGCTAACAACAACATCCTTATTTAGCTTAGATTAAAACAAAACAGACATAGCACTCTTGGCACTTCCTGTTTAGATTGTGAGTGTAGACTGGTTGGCTTTTACACAACCGCAAAAACACAAAAGCTGCTGACACCAAACAAAAACAATGGGAAAACTTTTCTAACATCCACCTTGAGAGAATGACAGCAAATCCTCTCAACTGCTATGTGTCTTTTTATGTCCTAGAAGTGGATTAGAGGCAGCCCTGAAGGCTGTTTCTGAGATCAGCCCAAATTACAAACTGCAGCATCATGCAAATGCATGTACAGAAATGTAACTTATTCAAAGGAAATTCAGGTATTGTGATAATTTAGAGTTTTTCTACAAAGCAAAAAACATGTTTTCTTTAAGGAGTAATTTTCAGCTCTAAAATCATTTGAACTTTTAATTTGTGGGGAAAATAGTTTTATTTATACAGAAAGTGTTAAAGAGAAATGCAGCAAAAGCCCACGAAGGTGTCAGAAAGAAAAAGGGAGGTAAGACGCAGGATAACGGGCAAAACTGTAAAAATATACCTGTGTCTTGTTCGGATTTATGAGGTTTATTTACAGATTTGTTTCGATAACAGACGGATTTCACATAAGTTGCTGCATTTAATCTCAGAATTTATACAACTCAGTCCAAGGAGATTGTGTCAGTAACAAAAACAAGAATACTACAAATGAAATCCTTTCGCCCAGGTGGACTTCTCGCATACTGCTTCACAATAGTGAAACAACGCTGTAGACGCTGACTGAATAACGTGAATGAGTCTGCGAGTTTTTAACTATAAGGAGGCCACAGGTTCTACATTACGTCACAGATCACTTTGTGTTTGCTGACTCTTTTGGGGGACAGTGTAACAGGTACTCTCCTGTAAGCTAATCCGAGTCCCCCTCTGGTATTTGGATGTCTTCTGACCTGGAGAAATCCATTTTGTCAGCCCACAGAATATTTTTCCAGAGGTCTTTGGCAGGGATGCAAGATATATCAGCATCGGTATAGGTATTGGCTGATGTCATTTTTGAACATATCTGTCTCTGTCCGATAAGTAGAACTGGGCCGATATTAACAAACAATATTTATTTCCATCTAGTTTCTGTTAATGTATCTGTTGTATGAGGGGAACGAGGAGGTCATGTGGTATAGCTTGGTCATGGGACAGTGATAGTAAGTGTGTGTGTGTGTGTGTGTGTGTGTGTACAATAATTATTGTATTAATATTGGTTATTGGCCATAACAGCAATGTTTATATTGGCCCACATTGTCATATCGGTCCATCTTTAGTTTTTGATTTCACCAAGAATTGTTGAATCATGAACTCTGACCTTAACCACAACCGAGTGAGGCTTGCAGTGCCTTGGATCAGTAGTTCCCAACTTTTTCTGACTCGTGGACCCACTGAGCTGCTTTCTTAGTCGAATGTGTCGACAGTTCCTCAAAAGTAGAACGTACAGCTGATTATTAAATGAAAATAATTTCATTAAATATCCTTAACATTGAACCTATCTCACTTCTTAGGTGACTTTTTTTTTTACTTAAACAATCCTCATGCGGGGTCCAGAAAAAATAGACTCCATGTGGAAATTTTCTGGAGCTCTGCATTCGGATATGCACCACAGCTGGTGTATATGCTCTCATTGGACTCAATGATTTCTGATCCATGTGAAACTGGATAGCATCTATTCTGCATTCGGTGTCAACGAGCTTTAGGACCTCTGTCAGTAGCAGCCGCAGCCCTGCTCTGGTTTGTCCTTCATAGTGTTTCTTAACCCTGGTCCTCAGCAGCCCTGTCCTACAGGTTTTAGGTGTTTTCCTGCTGCTACACACCTGGCCTAAATGAATGAGTGATTAACAGGTTTCTGCAGCACTTGATGTCATCCTGAGAAGTCAGTGCAAATATATCAATCAGGTGGGCTGAAGCAGAGACATGGAAAACATGTGGGGTGGGTGGGGTGGGGGGTGGGGGGTGGGGGGGCTTGATATGGTCTAAGATCTATAGCACAATATATTTTTTATTTCTGTTTATTTATTTATGTCAAAATAACTGGTTTTACATTCTCACATACCAGATGAATTTCAGCAGAACAAACACTTCTAAAAAATATTGAAGCATATTTAACGTTCAAAACGTATTTAAAAATAAACCTTTCAAGTAATTTTCTGTTGTTCTGATTCTTTCTCCAAACAAAGCAACACAAAAATCCTCACAAAATGAAAAAAGATGAAGGTATTTAAATAAAATTCAAGCTAAATGTGATGAAAACACAACATTATTGTTTGAAAATCTTTAAACTTTTCTGACTGGTTTCATGTTTTTCATTTTCTCATAGAAGTGTTGCTTCAGTAAGGATAACTGAAGGTAAAATGCTGCGATTTTGTTGACATTAATAAATAAGTTGGAGGTTTATTCTTTCTCTCTGCCTCTGGTTGAGCAACGAACGCTCTGACCAGCGGGTCTGGGGTTATTAGAGGTCAGACCCGTGGTGCACACTGGCCATGCAGAGTGAAAGAGGAGCTGCAGAACCTCGAGCTTTGTTAATGGGTGAAACGGCTGCTGATGGAAATTTGTTCAAACTAAATCACTGGAGATGTCTGACAGTTTGGAAGTCTGTGTGTTTATCGTTCATTTAAAAGAGCAGCATCGAAGCAAATTAGTGTTAACAAGCAATGAACGCAGAAATGCCTTTACTATCGTCAGAATTATTTACTGATGAGGTATTTCTGTTCAACACCACACTCCTGAAACCCAAATTAGGTCCGTATAACCAACATTACTGGATCAAGTGCATTTGAATTCACGCGCTCCACGATGCAGCAGCCTCTAGTCAAAAACTGACGCAGCTTGAAAAAATTAATGCAGCCCAAATTGATAATTGCTAATATAATGTCAACCGTATATTACTGTGCATTACTTTATTAGCATAGTCATCAAACATAGCACATGCCAGGCCAATGATTATTTTACCAGGGCACAGTGAATTCTGTCATCATCTGGGAATTAAATATAAATTTTTCCGCGTACCTCCTGTAATGCTCTCGTAGACCACTAGGGGTACGCAGATCCCTAGTTGAGAATCACTGCTTTAGATGTTTTTCCATTCATGGATTCACTGTTTAGAACAGATCTAGATATGTTGCATTCAAAGAATGTTTTTATTTACTTGGGTTATCTTAGAATGAAAGTGCGTGTTTGGTAGCCTGGCCTGTCAGACTCCTGCTCTGTTTAATTCTGCACAGAGAAAGGGTCTGGGAGCTCTCCTATTCAAATAACCCCACCCCCTGAGAACTCTAACTGAGCCAATTAGTGCTGAGTAGCGTACGTCACACACACCATAACGCCGAATTTGTCATAAACATGGCGACTGAAGCGGAGCTAGCTGCGGCTCTTTCCTCTTTTCTAAATGATTTGAATGTCTTTAAAACCACAACAAGTAGAAGCGCTAAAAGCCTTTCTTCTTCTTCTTCTTAAAAAAAAAAAAAAAAAAAAAGATGTTTGCGCTGTTGCCAGACGCTATTTTTTACTACAGCTAAAACACCACAGCGTTGCGCGGTATAGTTGGCATTTCCGTCTTTTTTCTGATTGGTTACTTTTGAGCTGCCTAGTCCCGCCCCTCACGTGCCTCTCTGCCTGTGAGTTACCAGACTCTCTCTCTCTGTGCAGAATTAAACAGAGGACGAGTCTGGCAGGCCAGGCTACGTGTCTGGACCATTTAGAGCAAAAACAGCAGACATGTTTAGTGGGACAAATCTTTTTCACAGAAGAATGCATCCTGTAATAAATGGGTTTATCTGATGGCTATCTATTGAAATATGTTTCTGGAAAACTGTGAGTCAATTATCACACTGTGATCAGGGCCATAGATTGCACTTTAATGATGTGGGTCACTAATTAATGCTTCACATCCGTCCCGCCTCTTCTTCACGCCTAAATCATTATCGCCCACTCACCTCGAATCACAGATCGGGCTCAAGCTTTAAAGGAAACATTTGGAGCCACTCTTTGTGCCGACAATAGGTGCAAAACATTTTTTTCCCACTTCAATCCATGTTTTATGCAAAAAGAATGACAAGCTGCATTTGGGTGTTATCTACTCTGCAGCCTGCTGTAAGGGACCTGCAGGCCTGTTTTGCCTCATGAAATTGCTGTGCATGACACTGATGGAGGACAGAGCTGCAGGATATTTACAAAACCTGAAAGGTTTAGCAGGACAGCGAGGATCGAGAGTCAGAAAACACCTCGACAAGGAGCCGATTATGCACAAGAGTCGTGCTCATCACTTGTCTTTGTGGACATGACACAAACAGACAGAAAATGGTGCGATAATTTGCATCAAGACGAATTGCATATCTGACAAGCACTAACCTGAGGTTCAGACGGCGCAGCAAGGGGTCGGCGGCAGCACCCAGAACCCAGACGGTGAAAACGACCAGAAGCAGAGTGGTGGTGAGGATGGTTCGTTTTGCCTCTGATGATGTGTCTTTGACAGCCAGACTGAAAGCAACAACCCCCCTCAATCCTGAAGGTAGAAAAAAAAAATCCTGCTTGATTAATTACATCAATCAAATCACCAGACAACCATTCAGTAACTGACCATTTCAGACAGGCAGCAAAAAGACAACCAACTATCATTCCCCATGACCGCTTAGCACCCAAAACAAACTTCAAGATCTCTGTGCTTGCAGGTAAAATATATCCCATAATACTCTATTCAAATGGAAAAGGAAAGAAGACGACGTTGGCTGTGAGTTCAAAAAGGAATAAAATCAGAGCATTTAACAACAAAGTAAATGGGAGAAACCTGCTGCAGCTGTGGCATTAAAATCACTCTCTATCAAAACAAATCAGTCAAATTGACCAAGATGCACAACTTTAGTCCCAAATATTAAAGTGAGACAAACATTTCGATTTAAGAAGAGGAAAAAAAATAACTCAAAAGCTAATAACAAAAATAAATAAATAAATAAATAAATAAAAATAAATCTGAGATTCCATCAGTTACAAAGTGATGAATTATTAAAGACCAGAGGTGCTGGTTTCTGAGTTTTGTCACCGATTCACACTTAATCCACGTGGGACACCTTCCCTCAGCATCCTCACACATAGCTGCAGGCTGAGTGGAACAGTGGGATGAATCAAAGAGGAAGAAGTTTTCTTTTTACCTTCGCAGCAACGAGATCCTAAATCCAGCATTTATCGCTCCAGCTGCCACAGGTGAAAATAAATAGCAATAACTAAAGTTAAGCCGAAGGGGCTAATGGAAACTGTACCTGCAAACACCATAAAGTGTTGGACGGGCCGAGATATCCGCTTAGTGCGACCCAGGTTGAGCAGGAAAGATAGAGGGTAGATGTTGCACGCTCTTGAAATAAAGATGGATAACTGTGAGAATGGAGCATGGTTAAGGAAAACATGACTGGCACAGAATTGTAGTGTAGTTGTTCTCTAAAAACACCCCCATTTTTCTCAATAGAGAAATAAATTTCATGTGGCTGCAAAAAAATAAATAAAAATTACAATGGAAATAGAAATACAATAAATATCTTAAATATTTTAAATAAATCATTGAACAATCTCAGTTTGGAGAAACACAGATTAGCTCTGGCTGGCTGAATGAGCTAAAGGCTAAACCAGAGAGCAGCTGTCTTAAAATAATTTGAATGTCAGGAATTTTAACATAAACACAAAATAGTTTATTTTTACTTTAAACCAGAGCTTTAACATTGATCTCAGTGACTGTTGAGTTCAGGGCTGTTGCTAGCTATTTTGGTGCCCTAAGCACAAAGGCTTCGTGGTGCCCCCCCCCCCCCCCCCCCCCCCCACACACACACACATACAGAAAAAACAACACAATAACAGTATGTGCAAGCGCTTCACCTTAAAGTCTCTTTAATTCTCTTCTATGCACAAACTGCTTATTATTTTCCAAAAAGTAGGATTGATATTTAGTGTGTGTGTGTGTGTGTGGGGTGGGGGGGGGGGGGGGGGGGGTCATTTTGTCTTGGCCCTCAAAATGTTTTGAAACGGCCCTGGGTGTGTGACTGAGTGTTGAAGGTGATCTGAATTGTATCAGATGTATAAATATTACATGTGTGTAACTTATTGTTTTATACAGGTAAAAACGTGTAGCTGCAGATAAATCTACCTACATTTTACTTTTCAACACTTTGTTTTGTTTTCTTGTTTTTATTTAACTATTTTCCTGTCCTGTCTGTCTCTCATCTTCCTGCATCTCCTCTAAACTCTCCAGAAAATCTGCTGCCTGGATTCTTACTTTTTCACCTCATCATTTCCTTTTGAGCAGATCAAAGGGATCTCCTGACCGCAAAGCGGAGAGCGCGTTTCGATGCTGCGTCAGTGAGGTGAAATCACCGCCGCACAGGTGATGAGCTCCGCAGTGGCAGAGCGCTTCAGGCACAAATAAGACAGAAAGTAGAGAACATGAGCGGACATGAATGATGGTGTGTTAATTATAGTTTTTTGGTTGCGCCACTTTAAGAATGGACCGTGCGCTGGAAGCAGCAGCCTGGAGCGCTGCGCAACAACGCTGCTCTCTGTGCTCTCTGCTCAAAAGAGTCCATAAATGATGTAATATAGGTAGAAAACCTTTTTCCGACTCCCCTGGATGTGTAGGATATACAGCTCCCCCATAATTCGATCCCTGCTCCTGGATGAAAAGCCGGACATTTTCTTCAAAACAAGAACCCCCAGTCCGGACGTCCCGGACAGAGAGTGAAAAGTGGACACGGTCCATCTCCTTTCCTTTTTGTATTGTTTTCTCTCTGTAAACATGCTGTTACCTTGCTTTCCACATCTTCTAATTGAAATCTGTCTTTATCATATATATATTATTTTTCATAAGCTTGCATTTGGTGCCCCTCCCTGGTAAGGTGCCCTACGCGATGTGCGTGGTGTGCGTGTGCGGAGCGCCGGCGCTGGTTGAGTTAGAAACTTGACCAGTTTCATACTTGACACCACTCTGCAGTCCTCTGCTGGCCAGAAACTGCACTAGATAGTTTTGAGCAGTGGGTAGGTGTTCTATAGGGGGAGCTCTTTAGCTGCTTTATGACTGTTAGCTGTAGTGCTAGCTAGCGGTTAGCATTTTCAGTTCAATAAATAAATAAATAATTTTCAATCATCAATAAAAAGCGCAACAAGAACAACAAGAAGGAGTTTGCTTTTTCTGTTATCATCATGGCAGAACCTGGAAGTAGGAAAGCAACGTGTTTGGATGTGCTATCGCTCCTAAAGGGAAAGAAGTCCAATTTAAAATTTTGAATAAAATTTACCCAACAAATAGACTCCTTGGGGATAGATTCAATATAGAAGCTGGTAATTGTGTATTTTGTGAAACAGAAGAGGAGGACTTAGACCATCTATGTTTTTTGTGCAATTTTATACAAATTTTTTGGTTAGATTTTCATGCCTGGCTTTGTTCTAGTGGGATTCAAATTGCCCCATTTACCTTAAATAGGATAATGTTTGGAGTGTTTTTGAAAGAAAAGAAAGTTAATGATGGTGTAAAGTGTTATTAATTTTGTACAAACAATTTATACATAAATGTCGATTTTTTAAGACCAAACCAACACTAGCCTATTGGAAAAACGACTTAAAATTATTAGTTAAATCTTTGAATTTAGTTAAAAAGAAAAAGGCTGATTTTTTTAATTTCCTTTGTAGAAGATTTTGAGTTAGTAAGTTAATAATCTGTTAATTATGTGACTCCATCTTTAGATTTTCTTTTTTTTCATATACGTGAAAATGTTTAATATGTAAGTAATGATTATCTTTTGAATATATAACGTAAGGTGCATTTTGTTTGTATGTTATCTTCTCTAATTAAAAAAAAACGTGTTTGGATGTGAAGCAAAGAGCTAAAACTGGAGTAAACATTAGCTCGATGTACACTAGTTTCAGGAAGCTAAAGGAGCTACAAAATTGCAAACCGATGGAGAACTGGCCTTTTTGCTACTGGACTTGTAATATTTTTTGTCCAACAGTATCTTTTTACTTAGTGGTTTATTTGAATATAAGTTGGCTCATGTCACTGTTTGTTGTTAGCGTTAGCTACAGCAGGGTTGTTTACAAAAGTTGTAATTCCACTTTAAACCAGTAGGGTGGCAGGAAACTGCTCACCTCTACTTTCATGTTCACATTAATTATTCATAAGGAAGATTGTGGCTTTTTACAGCTGGGATTTCCAGATAATTCCAGAAAAACCATTTAAAAAACAAATTATGGCTTTTAAAAGGCTATTAAAACAATTTACTGCTTTGACATTCTTGAAACAGGAACCGTTTAAAGGAGATTTTGCAGCCTGTCCTTTTGTAACTAGTAGCCAGCATCTCCTTTTAATCAAAACTAATCTATATAAGCCATTCCAAGAACTGTCCACAGGTAAGATGTTACTAGCTCCAAACATTTCCACTTTTATCATTAAGTATGCATTATAATTTTAGAAAATCTAACACGTTTAGTTTCAGGTACCCTTGTGCTTGCTTTCATGTGGCATTTCTTAAAACCTTGCTTGTTGTTCCTCAGATTTCTAAGACACCGTAATTCCTAGATTCACTTGCCAACACCCAAGCAAGGGTGCCCGTATGAAAAACAATTTCTGAAAATCATGTGTTTAAGATGCAAACGCAGCCACGCCGAGGCATGACACCAATCAGGACAAACCAGCTGTTTCTACCCTGCACACACACTTTGATGTCTCTCACAGGATGGGACTGAATGTTAAGTGTTTGGAGCAGAAGTAAAGGAAATGATAGGTGGGCAATTATCATGGATGGAGCTGCAGTTCTGGACACACTTAACCTCTTTTGTCACACTTTTAGAAGAACCTACAATCCCAATTTTAACCTGAGGCTGTCGGGTAACTTACAGAGGCCCCTATAGTACGTCCGGAGTAAACCAACTCTGTCAGGGACATTTTCAAAGGCCATTTTAAAGTTTGATGCATAAAAGTCACTGACACAGACAGGTAACTCTGCTTATGAGTCATGAAGAGTAGGGTTCAGATTTCTTTCCTATGGGAAAAAGTCCCTAAACAAATATTATACAAGAAATAATAATAAAAAACACCAATGTCCTCAGTAGGGGACCTCAGTCAGACAAGGCTGTTACTAAAACCGACTTCCTGCAGTCAATATTAGATCTCAAGCACCCTATGGAATTTCAAAAGCAATATCGTGCTTCCAAAAGCAGTCATCTCTCTTTATCAAAGGCCTGTGAGCTATTTGAATTGAGGTAATTAAGCACTTTCATCTCAGCTTCGTTTCCAATAAAGCCAATCTCCATTGTCAGCGGCAAAGGCTGAAAGCTACAGCGATTAAAATCTAGTGAATAGCAAAAGAGCCATTAACAAGGTTGAATCACTAAAGTTATTTTAGTGTTATAGACACATTTAAGGGTTGGTGAGATGACAATGACTTCTATGTGTTTGTACATCCAGGTCAGCAGGCAGAGGATTATTGGTGTTTTGTTACAATCAGGCTTCAGAGTTGGAGTTTTCCTGACAAGGAGCATTCATGCCCGACAGAAAGAATCTGCTCAGTCCACACTTTGTCTGTATCGCTGACCCAGTGTTAGGTAATGGATTGCAATAATAATTGTCGGCCATCTGGGAAGTGGACTGTGAAAGAACAGCTCCTCGGAGTACAGCCACTGGGGTCTCTTACCTGGCAAACACTACACCCAGTCACTTTCAGGAAAGGACAATCATACAATAGATCTGCAGCAGGCAATACAGAGATAGTTCAGATCTGTGGAACAGCTATGAACCTTCTTATCTACTATAAATGGCTTTTAGAGTACCTCACTTTGGAGAAAGAGACTAGTTTGACAGGATTGATAATGTAACGTCCAGCAATGGTCAGTTTAGGTACAGTCTGACCTTTCAACATCTATTCAACATCCGGTCAGAAAGGAGACACAACACTGCATGTGTTCCCTTTAAATGAGCCTACCTTCATACCAGCTGGGACTCACAGACTCTGCAAGTCTAAATGATAAACAATAACTTTCTTTCCCAAGGTCCCATCTGGCTGCCTCCACAGAAGGAAGAACTCCAGCTCGACTCCATTGCTAAATTCGAGAATGATTTCCTAAATAAATATGAACTTCTTCCATGACTTATAATCTAGATAATCATTAAATAAACATTTGTTTATTATTACTTATAATAATTATAGTACAATGAAATGGTTCATTAATCAGTGCTCACTGAATGGATGTTATGTTTGTCTACTAGAACCTGCCATGTGTTCAACATGTTTTGATGACGAAGTCCTCACATCTGCACTCACACAACAACAAGTACAGCTAAGTTAAACCCTGACACGTATTAAACCAGTCAGAACATCCTGTATCAAGAACGCGTGTTTCTGATTTGTCTTGGTAACAGCTCTCAAACTTGTCAGCCTCTGATTGGCTGTGCAAGTCATAACATCAAAACCTTAAAACTGGATCATCTTAAGTGATTTGACAGTTCTAGAGAATCGCTTCAGGCCGGCCACCTGTAGTAAACCTCTTTAAGGTGCAGCTGTTGGTGCCCCATGGTCCTTCAACCCCTTGTGGCTCCCTGACGATGTGTCCTCTCTGTCAGACCCACCCAATGTGTGTGTCATGACTCGAGCACAGGCCGCTAAGGCGTCCACCCCTCAACCATCTGATGGTTTTGTGCCTGTTAAACCTGTCTTTTCTCAAAACGACCTTGTCAGCCTCCAGTCCCAGGATCCTGCTATCAGCAGGATGATCCTGTACCTTTCTGATCCGACAGCTCATCTGCCTTCTTCTGTCGAGCTGGGCTCCGTTCCTGAGCTCCATGCTCTATTTCGGGTTCGTGTCATGCTGAGGATGGTTGAAGGGTTGCTGATGCACATCTCCAAGCCTCCATCATTGCCTGTCCTTGTGGCACCACAGTCCTTTGGGGGGGGGGGGGGGGGGGGGGGGGGTGTAATGATAGCAGGTCCGTGGTCGGACCTGCAATTCGACTGGGTGGGGCCCCTAACCAAGTCCAGCAGAGGGAACAAGTACTTCTTGACCATGACCTGAGCATTCCCCAAATGGGTTGAATGTTTGCCGGCACCTAACGACAAAGCTCAGACAACTGCTGTCCTCTTGATGAACCACATATTCTACCAGTTCGGTCTTCCCGAACATGTTAAGTCAGATAGGGGAACTCACTTCACCTCTGGGGTGATGGAACATCTTTGGCGGATGTTGGGTGTCAAGGCCAATTTCCACATTGGTTATCGGCCCCAGGGTTAGGGTAAGGGGTTAGTTAATAGCTAGTTGGAGTAGATCACTTAAAACAACCCTAAATCTAAAAGCCATCATAGTTGTTCAGGCAAACCCTATTTATATCTCTGAGTTGTACATAATACAAATCTATAATTATTTGCAACAATGCTAGCTATAGCATTTCAGAAGCCACATGAAAAAGGCCAACATTCCTAAAGGTATCGTTCACTCATTTAATTAATAAATTTCCAGTGATCTCTAGCAGGAATGAATGCCTTGGAAGTTGTACCCAGGGTACAACTTACAGGGTACGTCTGTTTCAGGATCAAGAAGACTGCCACTTCAGAAGAGAGTTTCAGATGGCAGAATTTGGAGTCTTACTTCCTGATATTTGAACATCACACCTCTGACTGGCTAACAGCAATGCAACTCTACCACTGACTATGTTTAATTTGCAATGTTGATGTTTAATCTTCACAAATTACCCAAGCCTGGAGGAGTTTTGTTGTGTGGCAGAGTTGCTAATGCTAATGGTTAGCTTCTACTAGGCTGAGGCATTCCCTGCTGTTTCCTGAACACTAAACCACCAACAGCCTTCCCCGTCATGAGTCAAGATGGGCGAGCCCATGAGTGTTAATTGACAGTGTGATGTAACACTGTCAGACTTTTAAAGAGTTTCACCGTCTATTTTCTTTCAGAAACGAATGCAGGAGATGATCAAAAATAACCTCAAAAATGTTTTTTTCAGTGAACCACACATTTAATATTGTCGTTTGCAAATTGTCATGATAGCAACAAGTAAAGAGTTTCAAAACGGCAGTAACACACTTTGTTTTTAGCCTAACCTAGCCATTAGCTTGTCAATCCAATCAGAACCAATAGCTGTTTCTCCAAACAGATGTTGCTCACAGCTATCTACAGCAAGCAAAAGCTCACAGACCTTCCACAGAAACTCCCCTCAAAGTGCTGAACTGAAAGAGTTTGATGTTTTCATAACTTTAATGATCTCTTGCTAAGAAGCTTCTGAGTTTTTGAGAATATATGCAATGGTTCCAGAGTTTTTTAACACAAACACGTTAATATATTGAGGTTTCGAGAAAAACTGATATTTATGAGTTACAAATCTATGAAGGGGTTTCGGTTTTGTTTCGTCTTCAAATAACAAAAAATAAATAACAGCTGGGAAATTCTATTTCCAGGGTTTTAAACTATAGATTCATTAGAAAAATGCTGGAATCAAAGCATTATTTCAAAAACACATATTTGTAATTTATTTAGCACATTTTATCCTTACTTATACCATCAACACTGTTCTGCAGAAAATAGTAATTCTGCTGAATAACAAACTGCAGGTTTCATGAAACAGTGAGCAACTCTATTCAAGTGCAACAGGGAAACGGCCCTTAATCCAGTACAAATGGAACTTCTATAAGCTAATTTCCAACAGCAAACACTTTTATTCCTCTGAGCTTTTACAGCAAATTGAAAACAAGCTGCAGTAATTATAATAAATGGCCTTTTTAAGTTTGTGTTCATGGGCGTTCTTTGCTGAAGATGTACTGTGGGACATGAGTCTGCAGAGCTGGTGCGAATCCATACGGCCATCTGCACGGCGAACAAGTCCAAACCTGTAGCAGAGCTGTGGACAATACAGAGCTGAGCAAAGATGCAAAACAAGAACACAAAGATCTATCTAGATTGTGCAAATTAGGATGTGACAAGAGGGTAAAACGGAGAAACTGATCCAGAGGCTGGACAACGAGAGGTGAAGATGCTCCATCAGGAAGTAGAAAAGGATACAAATGCCCCAGAAATGAAGAGCGCTCTGAAGACATGGTGAGGGAAGGTAAACCATATAAAACCCATGTAGCCAAAGATGAAGATCTCCCCCAGGAACTTGAAGACTTCAAAGAGCTGGGAATTATAAAATAGATTAAAAAGTATCATGAAGGAGTGTAAAGGACTGCATACACAGGGAGGGTGTGTGCTCATTTTATTCTAGTGATTTGGACATTCTTCTGCTGTGGGTGGGCGAGGGGGCTTACTGTATCAAGGATTAGATGAAGGTGGAGAAGGTGTGTGTGTGTGTGTGTGTGTGTGTGTGTGTGTGTGTGTGTGTGTGTGTGTGTGTGTGCGTGTGCGTATTTTAGAACGTGTTCCAAAAGGAGCACAAAGCCTACTTAACCTTAATTATTAAGAACTATAAAGATCATATTATTATGATTAATGACTGGAAAAAAGTCTAACTTTATGAACTTACCCCACTACAGACATTTAAAACTCGAAGGTTTAGTCATGATGAAGATCTGTGTGTTTGTAGAAGATGTAAGTTTAACTATGCAGTTATTTTCCTATGTGTACTAGAATACTTCATGTTTTCCTATAAAATACCACTGAAGAGGATTAGGGCCACCCAAAAAAAAAAAGCCATGTAAACAATTAAAAATAATTTATTTTTTTGCAGAATTCTGACTTACTTTTCAAAATTCTGATTTTTGACTTCTGAGGAAAAACAGTCAGATTTCTGAGAGAGAAAATATCGGAATTCTGAGATGAAAGACCAAAGTATTACTCCACTCCCACTTCCTGTTTGAAAAATGCAACAAATGCTGTTGCCTAGCAGATCGAGAGGGCGGAGCCACTAACAAATACACACACAGGCTCACAACGACATAGTGACATCATATCGTACCAGCTAACATTCTAGGGTACCTTTTAGCCAATAGCGATGACAGATTTAAATTTTACTGCAGTGCAGAGTTTTTACCTGACAACGGCACAACACTGACAGTTTTAGGCGGAAAATTTATATTTTAACTAAAATGCACTGAAGTGCAAAAACTATTGACTACACATGCCTGCAGCACGATTAGACACACATTTATATAGTTTATCAGAAAAAAAAGTTGATTTGGGGGTGACTTGCAAAAGGTGATTCCTATTTAAAACAAATACCTTGTTAATTAAATTACATACTTACATTTTCAGCTTTTATTAAACAAACATTCTCCTACATTTACCTAAAGTGAACATAGGGCTTTGTTATTGTGTTTTTAATGTTTGTGTATTTTCCAGATGCTTAAAGGCAGTGTTAGCTTGCTTTTAGCACCCCTTACTGTTTGTTTATAGAATCTTCTCGCTGTGCATTTGTCATTTTTACACCTTAATCTAACAGCTGAGATGTCTCCTCAGCCTTCCTTAGTATCTACAGGAGTGATTCATCACTAAAATGATAAAATCAGCTGTGGTCATGATCTAAACCATGCAGGAAACATGCAGGAAGCAGACTGCAGTGCCAGGGCTCAAATTTTTCTAAGACCCAACAGAGCGGACAGCCAGTCTGAAGTTGCAAGTGGGAATATTTTGACCACAGGGGGCGAAAGGGGCTGGGTGGCCTTCCATTAACCCTGTAAAGGATCGTTTTAGCACATACCGGATTAAGAAAATTATTTTAAAATATGAAAACATTGCAAAGTATCCCTTTAAATCCAAAGAGACTCACAAATGAGATGTTTCAAGTACACTTAGGATTACTTTATCTACAAAAATTGTTTATTTTAGTCTGCGTTTCTGTTTGCGCACGAGAAAAACATTTTTCCAATTCCATTCGATGGATTTTAATTAAAATTCCATAATTTTTTTTAAAATCTTTTATTTCATTTACAATGTATAAAATAAACACAAACAAATACAGGATACATTGACATATTGAAAAAAAAACCATTTGAATGAAAAGGAGCAGATAGAAGAAAAAATCTTATGATTTCTGCCCCTTTTTACGAAATAAAATTATCCGCCAAACAAACACAGTATAACCTCAGTCACTTTCTAATATTTTCATGTCTAATCTTTGACATTATAATTCACCTTTTCATAATTACTAAATACATTAGATTTTATACATTTTTTAAATATAGCAAATGTAGTTGATTCTTTAAATTCCTTGTTGATGGCATTCCACAATCTTACACCATTTACAGAAATGTTACATTCCCTCACTCTGGTTCTGAATCTAGGTTTCTTAAAGACATCAGTTCCTTTTAACATGTACATGGGTAAATTAATCTTTGGGTATATCTAGAACTAATGAACTGTAACAAATAACACAAAAAAGGCTGTAATGTTTTAGATACTGAGAAGAAATTCTGTGTTGTAGCTTCCAAGTGCTAACAGATGTGATGAAAACTGATTAAAAATCAACACATCAAACTAAAATTTCGTTTCCATATCCCAGAATCTTGCAACATCGTGTAAAACTGCACATAACATTACTGTTTTGAAGGTTTGACCAAAACAACGATACTAATGCAGTAATTTCTCAGCGAGGGAGGATCTGTAGAATGCTTATTGATCAGAAAAAGATGCTGCTGCATTAAGTTAAGAAACATGACCGTCAGTCCCTATTTTATCGTGAAACAGTTCTTTTTTGTTGAGTATCTTTACATTCAATTTGACTTGAAGTTCTTGTGATGTAATAAGTGAAATAAAGAAGACAATAACTACATTTATGTAAATTTCTACATGTCAAAACAATTCACAATATTATCCTGCATCTAGTGTGTTTCTAAATGCCAGTGGATGTTTTAATGTCACCAGCTGGCATTTTGCCTCTGAACTCACTTTGTTCAAATGATTATGAAAACTGGATCACCCCAGGTCCCCAATAAATGCATCAAGATGAAGAGTACATGCTATAGGTGTTTAACAAAGTTTGGCAGCAATTTTGTGAGATTTGAAGTGACTCAAATCGACTCTTCTCCTCAGAGCATATCTGTGTGTGTGTGTGTGTGTGTGTGTGTGTCAAGAAAGGTGGAAGTGAAGGACTCTGATCCTCGCTGAAATGGGTAAATGGGTTAAGATCTGCAAAAACACGACAAATCCGACATTGATGTCATTCCCTTTGAGGTCGCAGCCGCACATGTCTGCAGCCTGAGGGCCACGCTGCATTTTTCTGCATTTAACAGCAGAGTCGTTTCAGACGTTTTTCTTGTAAAACAGATTTAAATTGAAAAACTGCCGGTTGTCAAAAAAAAAAGTCTAATGAAATAAATAAAGGAGAACGCAGCTTGGATGTGAAAATAAATAAATCTTACCGCTTATTTCTCATGACGCTTCCTGTTAGAAGACTGTCACAGCTCATTATTTTGATCTGAGCCACTTCAAGAACTAAAATGTTTCTGGTAAATTTAAAATGTGAATATTACTCCACATCAGTGATATTAAAGGATTTGTTCAGATCTTCTCAAGTGTTTTTTTTTTTACAGAAAAACTAGCATGGAGTGACCTCGGTTTGGAGAAAAACTGTTTAGTCAGCCAGCTAGCCAAAGTGAAGTTCTTTATTAAGTGAGTTATAGCCATCTTGGAACACTTAACACATAAAAAATATCACCATAAACACTAACCCCTTCTTTCCACCGCACGTGAACGTGATGCGAAACCGCTGAGAAACGTACTAAGCAGCCTCGGTAATAGTGGACAAGTACCTTTCCTCCGGCAGCAAAGTGTAACGTTCTGGAAACTTCCCAGAAGTTACATTTCAACATGTCAAACTCCACAGTTGAGATCGGGCCAGATAGGAAGTCAAAGACAAAAGCAGTGTAAAACATCTGGAAACATTCAAAATAAAAGCCACGTGCAGTAAACATACATCATTTCCTGTTAAAACTCTTAGAGCTGTTTTCCTTGTCCGGGGATCGGACCGCCAAGGCTCCCGCCTTGGTCTGCCACCCGATCAACACTGCACCGGACCCTTCATGTTCCTCCTGCGGGTGGTGGGTCCACAGTTGGATGAGCCCATGTATCCGATTCGGGCTGGGCCCGGCCGGGCCCCATGGGCGGAAGCCCGGCCACCAGGCGCTCGCTCACGGGCCCCAACCCCAGGCCTGGCTCCAGGGTGGGACCCCAGTAACCCTCCGGGCCGGGTACTCCGACTCTTTGAATTTACATCCATGAAAGGTCCTTTGAACCGTTCTTAGTCTCACCCTTCACCTAAGACCAATTTGTCATGGGAGACCCTACCAGGGGCACAAAGTGCCCCAGACAACAAAGCTCCTAGGATCATTAGGGCACTCAAACGCCTCCACCACGATAAGGTGACGGTTCAAGGTTTTTGGAACATGGAACGTCACCTCGCTGGCGGGGAAGGAGCAGGAGCTTGTGGCAGAGGTTGAGCGGTACCGGCTAGATATTGTCGGACTCACCTCGACACATAGCATTGGCTCTGGAACCCAAGTCCTTGAGAGGGATTGGACAATCTCCTTTGCTGGAGTTGCTCCGGGTGAGAGGCGGAGGGTTGGGGTTGGCTTTTTGTTAGCCCCAAGACTCTCTGCCTGTGTGTTGGGGTTAACCCCGGGGGACGAGAGGGTAGCTTCCCTGCGCCTTCGGGTAGGGGAATGGGTCCTGACTGTTGTTTGCGCTTATGGGCCAAATATCAGTTCAGAGTACCCACCCTTTCTGGAGTCCCTGGGACGAGTGCTAGATAATGCTCCATCAGGGGACTCCATTGTCCTGCTGGGGGACTTCAATGCTCAAGTGGGCGATGACAGCTTGACCTGGAGGGGTGTGATTGGGAGGAACGGCCCGCCTGATCTGAACTCGAGTGGTGTTTCGTTATTGGACTTCTGTGCATGCCGCAGTTTGGCCATAACAAACACAATGTTCGAACATAAGGATGCCCATCGGTACACTTGGTACCAGGGCAGCCTAGGTCGCAGATCGATGATAGACTTTGTAGTCGTATCATCTGACCTGCGGCCGTATGTTTTGGACACCCCAGTGAAGAGAGGAGCGGAGCTGTCAACTGATCACCACCTGGTGGTGAGTTGGATCAGATGGCAGGGGAAGATGCCGTGTAGACCTGGCAGACCCAAATGCACAGTGAGGGTCTGCTGGGAATGCCTGGCAGAAGAACCTGTTAAGACGGTCTTCAACTCCCACCTCCGGCAGAGCTTTGACTGCGTCCCGAGAACAGTGGGGGACATTGACTCCCGAGTGGGCCTTGTTCCACTCTGCGATTGTTGAGGTGGCTGTTGCTAGCTGTGGTCGCAAGGTGGCCGGTGCCAGTCGTGGTGGCAACCTCCGTACCCGCTGGTGGACACCAGAGGTTCGGAGAGCCGTCAGGCTGAAGAAGGAGGCCTATAAGGCGTGGCTGGTCTGTGGGTCTCCGGAGGCAGCAGACAGGTACCGGATAGCCAAGCGGGGTGCAGCAGTGGCAGTTGCCGAGGCAAAATCTCGGGCATGGGAGGAGTTTGGTGAGGCCATGGAGAAAGACTATCGATCGGCTCCAAAGAGGTTCTGGCAAACTGTCCGGCGCCTCAGGAGAGGAGGGCAACAACTCGCTCACACTGTTTACAATGGGGATGGGGAGCTGCTGACGTCAACTGGGGCTATAGTCGGATGGTGGAAGGAATACTTTGAGGAGCTCCTCAATCCCACCTACGCACGTTCCGAGGAGGAACCAGAGCCGGCAGACCTGGGGATGGACTGTCCAATCTCGGGGGCAGAAGTTGCTGAGGCAGTCAAACAACTACACAGCGGCGGAGCCCCAGGGGCGGATGAGATTCATCCTGGGTATCTCAAGGCTATGGATGTTGTAGAGCTGTCGTGGTTGACACATCTCTGCAACATTGCGTGGTCATTGGGGGCAGTTCCTGTGGAGTGGCAGACCGGGGTGGTGGTCCCCATCTTTAAGAAGGGTGACCTGAGGGTGTGTTCCAAGTATAGGGGGATCACACTCCTCAGCCTCCCTGGAAAGGTCTACTCCAAGGTACTGGAGAGGAGGGTCCGATCGATAGTTGAATCTCAGATTGAGGAGGAGCAATGTGGTTTTCATCCTGGCTGTGGAACTGTGGACCAGCTCTATAGCCTTGCAAGGGTGATGGAGGGGGCATGGGAGTTTGCCCAACCAATCCACATGTGTTTTGTGGATTTGGAGAAGGCTTATGACCGTGTTCCCAGGGGCACCCTGTGGGGGATGCTCCAGGAGTATGGGGTGGGTGGCTTTCTGTTCAGGGCCATTCAGTCCAGAGGAGCGTGAGTTTGGTCCGCATAGCCGGTGGTAAGTCGGACCTGTTCCCGGTGAGGGTTGGACTCCGCCAGGGCTGCCCTTTGTCACAGGTTCTGTTCATTACCTTTATGGACAGAATTTCTAGGCGCAGCCGTGGTGTGGAGTGTATCGAGTTTGGTGGCAGGAGAATCTCATCTCTGCTTTTTGCAGATGATGTGGTCCTCCTAGCTTCATCCAGCTCTGACCTTCAACTCTTGCTGGGTAGGTTCGCGGCCGAGTGTGAAGCGGCTGGGATGAGGATCAGCACCTTCAAATCTGAGACCATGGTTCTCGACCGGAAAAGGGTGGCTTGCCAACTCTGGGTCGGGGGAGAAGTCCTACCTCAAGTGGAGTTTAAGTATCTTGGGGTCTTGTTCAGGAGTGAGGGTAGGAGGGATCGGGAGATCGACAGGCGGATTGGTTCAGCATCTGCAGTGATGCGGACGCTGAACCAGTGATCTGCGTCCCAATCCTCACCTATGGTCATGAACTTTGGGTAATGACCAAAAGAACGAGATTGCGGATACAAGCGGCTAAAATGAGTTTCCTCTGTAGGGTGGCCGGGCTCAGCCTTAGAGATAGGGTGAGGAACTTGGATATTCGGGAGGGACTTGGAGTAGAACCGCTGCTCCTCCGGATCGAAAGGAGTCAGTTGAGGTGGCCAGATGGTCAGGATGCCTCCTGGATGCCTACCTGGGGAGGTGTTTCGGGCATGTCCTGCCGGCAGGAGGCCCCCGGGTCGACCCAGGACACGTTGGGGAGGTTACATCTCTAATCTGGTCCGGGAATGCCTTTGGGTCCTGCCGGAGGAGCTGGTGGAGGTGGCCGGGGAGAGGACGGTCTGGAGCTCCATAGTTGGGATGCTGCCCCCACGACCCGGACCCGGATAAGCGGAGGAAGACGAGATGAGAAACTCTTAGAGCTGATGTAAAAAGAACAGAAAATAAACCACAGATCTTTTTGAACACAGCAGCCGTCTTTCTCCCTTCTTGTAACTTTCTAAACAGCGTGTGGTGTTGCAATTCTCCTGTGATTTTGTGACCTCATGGGATTGGCTGCGTGGAACGCTTTTGCTCCTGTTTCACGTCAGAATCGGTCCCGGTTGGAAGGGAGCTTGCAGGTAAAATGCCTCACTGTTGTAACACATCGCTTTCACACCTGTTGGGAAGCCGGCTTAACAACCTATCATTTTCTGATTGAAATTACAATTTCAGACAATGCAAAAGCCAAAGCTGTGCTAGTTTTTCAGGTCTCCTAACTGAACTAGGATCAGACTTGAAAGAGCAACTCCTATTCTTTCACTTGAATCTTTTTGATGGCATAAACTGTGGCAGAGTTATGTTAAATCAAACTAAGCATGTAAAACATGTCAGAATTTGGGTTTCTAATGTTTTTTTTTTGTGGGAAAAAAGATTCAGGCGGCCTACCTTTGTAAAACAATGCAGAGAAATCTATGCATGCATTATTCTTGTTAAAGTAACAATGTGTAGTTTTTACCATTAATCTCTGGAAATATCCATCAAAATGTTGTTGAAAATGAATTAAATGATGTCCAGTTGTTGAAAAATACTGCTTCAGAATATATAACCATAAAAATAGGGTCTAAAATACATAGGAACGGGTTTAAGTCTGCGTGAAGCAATATTAGAAGCCATATTTCCTGCTACGGGAGCCCGTGAGGACAAAATACATTTACTGATTTGTAGCTAATGGCTACTAAACTTTTGCCATTTATAAACATTGTTTTACCTCTTCGCTCGTTGCCAGTGATGAAAGAAAGTCTGATGTGCTTGTTTTTTTGCTGGAGGTTGCACTCTCAGGGATTTTTGACCCTAATGCACATCCATTGTTAAGGTCTTACTCTAACATAAGATACCACTTTCTTGCAATGATTTAGGTATTTACTGCCCCCTATCGCCAGGGAAAATACACAGTGTCACTTCAATGAAAATTTGAAGCAATTCTTTCTTAGTTTTTAATCATGCTATTTAGTAATAGCTTTTAGTACTTTCAGGGTAAAATGTCATTTTCTGTCATGTCTGTAAATGTTACTGTATGTTGTAAATATTGAGTAGAAGATTTGATTTGGAGATAATCATTGAAATCGCAATTTCTGCCAGGAAAATCGTAATTTAATCATTTAAAAAAAATCCTTCGGGCCAAAATTTTTACAACAGAAATGTAAAGAGGATCCAACAGGAAGCTACAGATAACTAGCTCCAATGCTAACTACAAATAAACAGATACTTATATATAATTTCCATAAAATGCAAAAAATAAAAAAAAGTGAATTGTTTGAAAGTTTTGAGATTAGAGCGCTTTAAAAAAAGAAGTAATCCAGTTTAGAACTGGCCTTGTTGTGACTAGCCGTTAGTGCATCAATCTAGTTAGAAATAATTGTTTCTCCAAGTTGGGATCACTCAAAAAGTTATCTACAACAGGCAGGATGTTTATTCTACCAAACGTTTCTACAAAACTCACACCAGAACATCTTCTTTAATGATGCTTTGAAAAAAAAAAAAAAAAAACTAAAGCAGCTTTTAAATCCATTAACTATGATCTCTTTGTTCAATTAAACCCATTTTGATTTAAAGCTCTGATGAAAAGCATTTTAACTGATTAAAAAACCTCTCTCCTAACAAAAGAAAGATGTTTGTCCAATAGCTATCCAACCTTTGTCTTTGTATCGTAAGTCATCTTTTCATTTCAGCGGGAGCTGCTCGTATGAATCACAAACATATAGAGACAAGCGTTCAGCCGAGTAAACACATTATACCAAACACACGCACAAACTGTTCCATAGACAATCTACATCAGCCTTTCAGAAACCCTTTCTGTGATAAACAGCTGCACCGTGGCACTGATAATGAATAATAAATGCATAGATGAGTATGTGTATGTACTTTTGATTTATTTGCTCTTCTGTGAAGCTCGCTGGCTCAGTGTGACAAAGTGCTGGCCCCCGTCTGTGCTCTGCCTTTTAAGCAGATAGCTGGAGACTGGTCTCCCACACAGACACCCACTGGACGAGCAGAACTTTAATGCTAATTCATATCTGGCTGTATGCACAAAAGGCTGTGGCTTGAGTATAAAAAAGAACTTTTAATAAAATATTATTCATTGTATGCAAACATACCTGCTTGGTCCGTGTCCTACTGTCAGGTGATAAATTAAGACTTGTGTACCTCGCCTGGCTAAGGCCACAGAATAGCACAGCAACGATGCCTGGAAAACAAGAACATGCAACAAAAAGGAGTCTAAATTTCAAAAGTCGAACCAAAGTGACAGCCTCCACAGATGCTTGGGACCTTTGATTGTAAACATGAGCATTAACACTGTGTTGTTGGTAATCAGTGAAAGGAATGCTTGATCAGGCTGTCTTTTTAATTAAAAGCACACGGTTTTGATCAAAGCATATGTCAGAAAAAAGACTAACATAAAAAAAAATATTCTGGCCAAGAAATGATCAGAGATTGAACAGAGGAGAGGTGGCCAGAAAACGTAGTTCTTGGGCTTGTTCACCCAAATCAACATCACAGTCCTCGTCTTTGGCTTGGAAGTACTTCTGCCTTCAGACATAAAACTCAAGAGTCTATGTCATGGTAAATAGCCTGTGTTTGATATAGCGCCTTCTGGGGTTCTACACCCCCCAAAGCGCTTTACAACACAGTCACCCACCCAAGTACACACATTCACACACTGGTGGTAATAAAATACAATGCAGCAACAGGTGCCCTCAGGCACACTGACAGAAGCAAGTCTGCCAGACATTGGCACCACTGGTCTCTCCGACCACCACCAGCAGGCAATGGAGGTTAAGTGTGTTGCTCAAGGGCACAGCACCAGACTGAGTGGAGCTCGAACCTGCAACCTTCCAATTATGGGGCGGGTAGAAGAAGAAGAAGAAGAAGAAGAAAATATCATTTCTATAGCGCCTCTCAAGATAAAAATCATGAGGCGCTTCAATTATAGAGAGCACGCTGGGACCGATGGACTGAAAAGCACTTTTGAACAAAGATGAGGGTAAGATGTCGAGGGGGCATGCAGAGGTCTTCATAGAGTTAACTAGTTGGTTAACTCAGGCAAAGAAACAGGAGCAAAGCTATCTAGGATGATGGGCCTGGTTGGAGTCAGGAGATGCAGCGATAAGGCTGAAGGAGAGATGCTAGATCTAACCTTATTGACTTTGTCCACAAAGAAAGACAGAAAGTTCTCACAGTCTGCAACAGAGTGGATGGAGGCTGTAGGACTGGCAGGAGAGGCAATGCTGCTGATGGTGTTAAACAGCACCTTGGGGTTCCCTTTGCTCTGGGACACCAGGTTGGAGAAATAGGAAACCCTGGCGTCTCTGACTGCAGAGTTAAAGGATGTCAGGAGATCCTTTAGGTGCAGCAGATGGACGTGGAGATGGGTTTTCTTCCACAAACGCTCAAATTTTCTGCATTGGCGCTTTAGGCTGTGAAGGCTGTCAGTAAACCAGGGAGTAGGGTTCACTGCAGGAACTGATCTGGTTCTGACAGGACAGATGTTGTCCAGAATGGAGAGGCAGTGCTCGTTAAACTGAGAAGTTAAGGAATCTGGGTCGTTATCAGAAGAACAGGGTGGATCAAAATCAGCCGGAAAATTGCTAGCTGTGCTCTCATTAAGAAAACGAGAACTAACCATACGGCGAGCAGGAGGTGGGGACGCAGGAACTGACAAGTTAAAGAAAATTCAATGTGGTCTGAAATATAAACATCCTCAGGACAAACACTGTCAGCATTTAGACTCAGGGTAAAAACAAGGTCTAGAGTGTGCCCCCTGGTGTGTGTGGGGCCAGAAACATGCTGGGTAAAGCTGAAGGTGTCCATAAGGCTGGAGAAATTCATGGCAAAGAGATCGGAGGGATCATCAACATGGATGTTAAAGTCACCAACAATCACCAGTCTGGACAGCTTCACAGTGGAGGATAGAAAGTCACTAAACTCCTGAAGGAAAGAACTGTTTGGACCAGGTGGACGATAGACCACAGCACAGTAGAACGGGTCCTTACGCCCGGCTTTAATCAGCTGCAGTTCAAAGGAAGCAAAGTGACCAGAGGTTGTAGAGCTACATGGAAGATGGTCTCTGAAAACAACAGCTAGGCCTCCACCACGACCAGAACCCCGGGGCTGGCTAAGAAAAGAATAACCACTTGGGCAGAGTTCAGTCAGACCAGAATAATCAGATGTTTGCTGCCAAACTTCAGTCAGAAACAGAAAATCCAGGTTTTTAGAGAGAATTAGATCATTGAGCAGGAAGGACTTATTGTTAACAGAGCGGGTATTTAATAGAGCCATGCTGAGTGAGGAGGATGAATCAGAAACTACAGAAACAGCTGGAGTTAGTGGGCGTAAATTAGCAGGGTTAGATCCACGGTGTTTATAAAAACCACTTATGGAGGGAACAGGAGGAGAAACCACTGAGGAATGAGGATAAACCGACCTTAAAAAACTTGGACGGATGAACCGCGCTGCAATGCGGCCTGGCGGGAATGCGGAAGTGGAGCTCAGGTCGCCAAACAAAGGACAAGAAGCTAGAAGATCGTGCCGATGTTTACTAGATAAACCACGCTTTAAGAGAAGTCTTATTCTCACCTGGATTCCTGCTCATTTACCTCTTTTCCTCTGACGTTTTCCCGGGACCGGACAAACATAGCTGGAGGTGCACAGCTCGTGATCGTCGTTTGGCTCCGGGCCAGTGAGCCGCTCAGGTAAACAAACAGGAAGGTACGTCCTCAGTGCATCTTGGGCGATCGTGAACGAACGGAAGGACAAGCGATCATAGGAGATGGTAGCAGGGACACTACTGAAGAGGATTGCAGACAGGAGCAAGGTGGAAAAGAGGAGGTTAGTGGAGAAAAGTTTGAATAAGTGGCCGATGACTGCGGCTAAGCCAAGCACAGGCGCCATCTTGTTGCCGACCGGAAGCGGAAGCGGTACTTAACTCCTCTGCCACCATTGTCCATGTCATGATATTTTACATCCTGTACATGGTCACAGACTACATAATTGTATGCATCCAGTGACTTCTATGCCTGTAGCTTTCCCTCGTTGGGCTTCTCCACCAAAGCCCTGTAGATATCTGTTTATTTAGCCATTTGTGCCTTCCACACATCTGGTAATACCACACAGATCCAAGGGTCTGTTGCCAGTCCTCAAAGTGAGTTTTCTTTGATTTCAAGTTGTCATTGATAACCCCTTAGCGTGGGCAAAACTTCAAATACCTCCATACTTCGTCACCAGGCTGCAAACTCACCCTGACCTAGGTCATACTGTTTGTTACAAACAGTAACATGGTCTATAGATAAAGGTTGGTAAGCAGTTTGAGCAGATTTCTGTTCAGCTCCTCCTTCACAGTGATAAATCAGAGAACCTTACTGTTGTCTTCCTGACTCGTTAGTCCATCTTAATGTCATTTAAAACACCAACACGATTGACCTCCACCAGTTGAGGCTGTACTTTACCATTGTTCTCATTCTCCAAAGCACTGAGAACAAACCTAAACATGCAGTCCAAATCCAAACATCTCTTTGTTTCTAACAAAAGTCTTTTTTTTATTATAACACCCCAGGGAATAAAAGCTGGGAAGGCTAAAATCTGTTGAATGATGTAATGACAACAAATGATGCCAGAAAGACAGAGGAGAAAATTAAATACAAAAGGGAACCAAACATAAAAAAGAGATGGCGCACAGAGAGGGGAAAAGAGATTAGAGACAGTTTCCATGAGCTGGAATTAAAAGCACATAGCATGAAAGGTGGCTTGCAGCCTCACAGGGCATGCTTGTTTTGTTGCAGGAACTCATTTTCACATTTTCTCCTTCCTAAACTTTAAAAGGGAATCACACTTAAAAAAATACCCTCATGGCTTTGTAATAGTAGGGAGGATGAAGATCTTCACAATCCACCTTCAAATCATCACACTGACCTTCCTAATAATGTTCAACGAGAATATCACAGATCTCATTTTGACTAATTTTCCACCACCCGCACAAAGTCTTTCCCACATAAGGGAATTTGTCTACGGAGTAGATGCATCTCGTAATGAGGAGCTGAGAGGGACATGAAATTAATGATAGCGAATCCCCCTCCAAAGTTGAGGGTCATTAGGCATGTCCTCATAAAACTCCAGCAATTAGCAGAGACAGAAAGAGCCTCAGTTACCAAAAGGACACTGACAGGTGGGTACGTCATACTGAGGAGAAAATTACTGGTCTTAGAGGGAGTATTAGATGATGAACAGTATTTTAAAAACCAGAATTTAAGTCGAATTTGACACATGAATACAAAAATCTGACCAAAGAGCACCAAGATTCACCAGTTGTCATATGTTACGCTGCGGTTTGACTTCTACTCTGGGCAGCATTCAAGGGTACTTCATAAACAGGGCGTCTTGGCCTAACAGATAAAGGTCAAACTATTTCATTAAAAACTGTGGTCTCTTCCTCCACATGCCACAAGGAGGGAGAGAGATAACTCTACGGCTGATTGAGTGAAATCCCAGTGATAAAGCATAGCAGCAGGACTGTAATATTACTTGAATATAAATACCACATTAATATTCTGAGAGCAAATCACAGTGGTCAGAGCAGAGGAAGACAATATCGTGCAGCAAAGCCAAGACTTGCCATCTTCCAAGCTACACATGCTCAAATTCAGTACAGCGTAAGGAACAGGATGCATTAATAAAACATAACAGACATTTTACAAGATTCACATCTAAGGCAGCAAAAATATTGTTTTGATTATTTCACATAAGATAAAAGCACCTTAACTTTTATTCTCGTTTCAGAAAATGTCCATCTGTAAGAGTCTCAAAAACATCCATCCATCATTTTCATCCGCTTATCCGGAGTCGGGTCACGGGGGCAGTAGCCTAAGTTGAGAGGCCCAGGCTTCCCCCTCCCCAGCCACTTGGGCCAGTTCCTCCGGGGGGAATCCCAAGGCGTTCCCTGGCCAGGTGAGAGACATAGTCCCTCCAACGTGTCCTGGGTCTACCTTTAGGTCTCCTCCTGGTTAGACATGCCCGGAAAACCTCACCAGGGAGGCGTCCAGGAGGCACCCTGACCAGATGCCCGAGCCACTTCAACTGGCTCCTCTCGATGTGGAGGAGCAGCGGGTCTACTCCGAGCCCCTCCCGGTTGCCCGAGCTTCTCACCCTATCTCTAAGGGAGAGCCCAGCCACTCTGCAGAGAAAACTCATTTCGGCCGCTTGTATCCGCGATCTCGTTCTTTCGGTCACTACCCAAAGTTCATGACCATAGGTGAGGGTAGGAACGTAGATCAACCGGTAAATCGAGAGCTTTGCCTTCTGACTCAGCTCTCTCTTCACCATGATAGACCGGTACAACGCCCGCATCACTGCAGATGCAGCACCAATCCGCCTATCAATCTCACGCTCCAGTTTTCCTTCACTCATGAACAAGACCCCGAGATACTCATCCCTAAACCACCAAAGTTTAAATGAGCTCAGACTGATTTGAGTACAGAACACAAAGATGGCAAAACATTGTTGTGTTGCGTATAATTGTAAGGCCAGGCAGCTTTATTTGTACAGCACATTTCATACAGAGCAGTGATTCAATGTGCTTGAAAAAACTGATGTATGAATAAGATAAAAAGGCAATGTTAAAGGCTGAGAAGTTTCAGTGCAGAAGGTGCAGCATAAGAAACATTCCGTTAAAGGCTAACATGAAAGTTTTCAGTTTTAAAAGTTACTAGAGTTGAGACACAAGGCTTGCAGAGACCTGCTGAGTGTGCACATTGCAACATATATTCTGGCCCCATGCCATTGAATTTATTGAGATTTATAAACTAGTAGCAGCATTTTTAATGCAATTCTGTAGTTTCTGGTAACCAGTGTAGAGATGTAAGAACAGAAGTGATGTGTTTGCTTCTCTTGGTTCTTGTTAAGAGTCGAGCAGCAGCATTCTGAATACGCTGCAGTTGTTTTACAGCTTTTTTAGCCTACTTTATGCTGTCTGAATTATTCTACCCATCTGGCCCAGACATGGGGCATTGCTAGCGATATTGGAATCAGCTAACCCCATGCGCTCAATCACAGGCTTTGGTGATTTAACAATGGGGCACTTTATTATTATTTTTTCCATAGAGCAGGGTTTGTTTAATCCCTCCCTTCGTTTGAAAATTGCGTTTGTATTTACTCAGGTTATCTTAGTCTGAAAATGAAAATAGTTTGCTGATCTGAAACATTTAAGTGTGACAAAAGACTAAAAGTAAAAGAAACCTGCAAGTGGGAAAGAAGTCTTTCATTGCATTTGACGTGTCTGGGAAAGGTACCTGCAAGCAGTTACAGAGATCCCTTGAAGCATGAGCAGGAGTAGTGCGTGCCAAGCAAACAGCTGCGTGTGACTCCGGTGGGCGACATGCAAGTCAGAGCGTGCAGCAGAGATGTGATGCCTGAGGGAAAAAGGGGGCTAACAGGATTTGCATTCAGCCTGACCTACCAGTCACCCAGGGAACTGATACGGCCTGCAGATGCACAAATAACATAAGTCACACAGTATTCACCTGAAAGTCCGCAGGCTTCAGCGGAGAGGAAACTGCTCCAGGATAGCAGGAAGAAGACGGATGTTTCTAGAAGAGGGTTCTCGTGCAGTCGGGTGAATTTGGTGAGGTGAGAGGAGAGTTAAAGTTATACAAGGAGATGACCGTGCAGATTTTAATTACTGTGTGTGTGTGTGTGTGTGTGTGTGTGTGTGTGTGTGTGTGTGTGTGAGATATTGCATCTGCAGGTACAAATCTCTGCATGTTTATTTGGGTGCAGCAGCCTGGAGAAAAAGAGATACCGCAGTGATGCACCTTGAAATAAAACAGCTAATGTAGTAAATGCTCAGTGAGCCTGAGGAGCATCCTCACAGTAAAACCACCGGATCCTAATGAGATTTTTTTCCCCTCTGTGAGCGCCCAACTTCACATTCCCAAATACCCTCCAGCTAAGCTTCCTTTCAAATTATTTTCTTGGTTTTTATGCAGTGTTTCAGTCGAAACAGAAAGAGGAGATAGAAAATAAGTACGTTAAAGTTTTCCATTTTACGTTCTTTTTTTTAAACCTCTGTGCAGTTTACTGCATTTGGGATGGGGGACATCCAGTGGAGCAAATCACAAATTGCAGCCAAATTTAATTCCAAGAATAAAAACAAGCTAGCTGTAAAAAAGCAGTCCACTCCACCTAGAGCCAGTGTTTGGTTTGTTCCTTCTGGGCCACCATAAAGGCATAATTATTCAGCACAAGGACGGATGAATGTGGGCAATTTACAGCATTTTGGAATTGATGTTGCATGTTGTCAAACATTCTTATGACTTTGAACACAATTTTTTATTAAAATGTATATGACCAATACATTTCTTAAAATTTTAAGAGGCTTCATTAGCAGCTATTATTTGGATTCAAATTCTCTTTTGGACAGACGGACGGGTGGATGTTTATTTTACTCCTGAACTGAGTCGATTGTGAGAATGCACACACCTCTTCCTCTCTATTATAACGAGAAGATGTGGGCTGCAGCCCCACCTTGTGGCTCTTGGCGGATATCTCAACTTAACTCAACAGTAACTTTATACAAAAACAAAGATTTTTTTATTTTCCATAAGCAGTTTGCTAAAAATATTTACAACCACAGCGCTGTTGTGAGGACAGAAAAAAATGATCAGAATAGTTTGTGTTCACATAACAGCTGGGTTTAGCATGGCAGCATTGCTAGCTGCTCACAGGAACCATGAATTGTAGGTTTAAACTCCCATTCGCTATTCCTCCAAAAGATAAATGATGATTTGTAGGATTGTTTATGAACAGTTCAGTACCAGGTAGCAACTGGTTAGGCCAACAGGTTTTGTAGAATGTGTTTTTTTTTTTTTTTTGGTTAAATTTTGGCTTTCATGAGAATAATTCTGCATTATCAGTCAAATCTTTGAAAAGCAAAATCACAGGAATATAAACCAAAAACATAAATGCACAAAGGTATCCATCTGGAAAAGATGTATGCCCATGCCATATCCCTTATTTCCAGCTCTTCCTGGTTTTAGCAGATGTTGAAATGCTCCTCTGCTACACCAAAGAAAACAAAAAAATTATGCTAATTTGTCCGAGGAGGTTTGGCAGCTCACTGATTTATTTCCTGCCACCTGATCAATCCTTGTGACATCACCATAAATGCAGTAAAAAAAAAAAAACTCCAAACAGGAAGCTAGGAAGCTCAGTCTCCATTTTCCCAGTCCCACCCTGTTCTTCCCTTCTGTGACCTTTGTTTAGACTCTGCACCCGGCTGAGTTTATCAGAGCAAACGCTGCACTGAGGTGTACCATGTAGACTGTGAGACGTGCACACAAAACTGTAACAGAGAGGAACATCAGTGAAGATTCACACTGAGCTGGAATCAAATGAGTGCAAACCCATAACAGAAGCCGTCAACCGACTCTGCTGGCAAGCGGCTAATAATGTCTGACTAAATGCTAATGTCAGATGAAAGCTTATTCCTGATCCGCAGCTTTGAAAAATGAATCCCACCCTGCAAATATCAGATTTCTTAGCTCTGTTTTATGTGATTTTTGAGACTACAATAAGGTGTTAGCTGCTTGTTTAACTGATGCTGCCTCCTAGCATTTAAAAAACACCATTTGGACACATTAGCAGTATTGTCCTCACTGTAAGTGGTCTTTAAGAACCAACTGTTTGAGGAAAAACCACAAAAGAGCACTCTGTTGAAGGTAAATGCTAATTTTGTGGGTTGGCTGCAAAAAAAAAAACTCAGCTTAAATCAGTCCCAAACCTCAGATTTTTAACCTAAAGCATAAAGATTTGAGAAAAATGCGAGAAATGTCACTAGCTGTGGGATTTTTGCAGCTTTCAGAGTTGCTTGTCTTATTGACGACAGGCCTTGCAGCAAAGGTTTTGTTAGAGGAGCGTTCACCAAGCTGAGGAAGTGGATGATTTTAAAGCGGATGCTGAGGTGATAACTGGAATGGAGAGACGGGCGATGAGGAAAAGGATATAAGGGCTGTGATTACTGTGAAGATGAATCCAAGGAGGAAGGAGCCAATGAGCACTCCAAGGAAAAAACCAACAGAGTGGAGGAAAGCGGGTGGGCCGAAGACGCGTCCTGCTCCCCTCCGGTCGTAAGAGGCAATGGCACTGGGAGATCAGAGGAAAGAGAGACAACATTACATAATAAAACAAGTGAAACAAAAAGAGAAAGTGAGTTCTGTAAATGCTGAAACTTTAAATGAACATTGTTTATGGTTCTGGATCAAGAGCAATCATCAGAAAAATGACCAGCTGGCTTGTTTTGGACCAAACAGCTGAGCTAAGCCCTCTCGGTCCAGTATAATGGTGTGACACCCTAACCAATTATTTGCCTCGCAGACATATTTGAGCACCAAGCGACAAAGAGGGGAAATACTCGCGTTGCAGCATATTTTTATTTATGGTGCTATAAATATTTACTGTGTGCGGGGGAGGAGGGGGGAGCTTTGAAATGAAAGTCGCCGAGTGCAAAAGAAAAAAATTAAAGAAGGCTCAAAAAAGAAGAAACAGAGAAATTATCTGTGAAAAGAGCTTGCAAAGACAAGCACCGGTAACTGATGGAGGGCGGCTGCTGCGGCGACACGGCTTCCTGTCGGAATTTGGATGAATATGAATTCATGGAGTCAGCAAAAACAACGAGAACGTGATGAAAGTGGATTTGATCAAACGCTCGGGCGAACCGGGCAAGGCCAAATGTAGAAAGTGCTGCCTCATCCTGCAAACATGAGCAGAAAATCCTTACAAAGTCCCTTAAAAATGAAAATGTAATGCCACGTTTTTAAGTAGTAGGGTCTTAATGAGCTGGCACGCTCTGCAACGTTTCTTAATCTCAACAGCAGGAAGAGGGCTATCAATCAGGCTGTCACTAATGAGCTCAGCAAGCTGAAAAAGGGAAAATCTATTACCACCTCTATGGAAATAAAGACACCAGTTCAGCCAGCACAATCCATTTATCTGCAAGCCACACGGTCAGTGGGAATTTCGGAAGATTGTTTGTTCAGGTGTTTGGCTGTCCAGTCAGAACTCGGAGACGTAAAGCGGTGGGCTGATGGAGTGGGAGCTTTTGTGCCTGGGAGAGGGCGCATCAGGTTGAGCTGCTCTGAGAAGCTTGTTAAAATTCCGCTGCCAGGACCCCGTGTGCTCGCTAATAAGGCCTGGCTTTGTGTGTGTGTGTGTGTGTGTGTGTGGAGGGGCCTCAGAGACCGGCAGACAAACGATCCGGTCAAGTGACGGGAGACGGCGAGCGGGCCGGTCACACCACTCCAAGAACAAACATAGCACTATCTGACCGTTTGTCTGAAAGGATGCACTGCCTCCCTCCACGTGTGACTGAAGGGTTATAAACACGTCGAGGTCTGTTTGCACGTCTACTTGACTGGCTTTGTTCACCAGTTGTGAAAAAGGAAGCAAACAGCTACTGCTAAACGTGTGCGTGTGTTTTAAAGGGCAAAAGAAGCAAAAACTGGATCTTCCTGAAGGCTTTTATGTGGAGCTTTCACAGATTTTTATCTGTTTTGTGCTTTACTTAGCCTGAAATTGACAGTAGCCAGGTTTGATTTACGAGAATTGTGTTTCCACCCTGGCAGTGAGTCCCTCCACTGACTACCTTAATGAGATGCTGACAGTGCCAGAGGCAACTTGCTTATGTAGTCTACTGCATAGCATCCAAAGCACTCATGCTGTTTTGCCAATAGCACCTTTTCTTTAAAGCTGGCAGTGTCCTTTCAGGCACGCACACACACACACACACACACACACACACACACACACACACACACACACACACACACACACACACACACACACACACACACACACACACACACACACACACACACACACCCGCCTCCATACTGCCAGCTGGAGAATTCAGAGCAACCCACACAATTAAACCGGAGAAAAATGTAAGGCATTCCGACGAGAGACAAGATACTCACTGAGTCAAGACGATGGCCACAGCATCATTAAGGACACTCTCCCCAAACAGCAGGGCATGCAGATCAAAATCCACATGCAGGTCTGACAATAGCCCAAGGACTGAGACTTACAACAACAAAAAACAGGAAAAGTGAATTATTGCTTGTGCTGCTGCAGGATAGGACACAACATGGACGTTTCACTGGTAATCACACAAATAAAGTAAATTGTTGGTGTAAAATGACACCTGACAGCATATACAGGTGCTGGCCAGTAAATTAGAATATCATCAAAAGGTTGAAAATATTTCAGTAATTCCATTCAAAACGTGAAACTTGTACATTATATTCATGCAATGCACACAGACCAATGTATTTCCAATGTTCATTACATTTAAATTTGATATTCATAAGTGACAACTAATGAAAACTCCAAATTTGGTATCTCAAAAAATTAGAATATTCTGAAAAGGCTGAATATAGAAGACACCTGCTGCCACTCTAATCAGCTGATTTACTCAAAACACCTGCAAAGGCCTTTAAAAGGTCCCTCAGTCTTGTTTTGAAGGCACCACAATCATGGGGAAGACTTCTGACTTAACAGCTGTCCAAAAGACAATCATTGACACCTTGCACAAGAAGGGCAAGACACAAAAGGTGATTGCTAAAGAAGCTGGCTGTTCGCAGAGCTCTGTGTCCAAGCACATTAACAGACAGGCGAAGGGACGGAAAAAATGTGGTAGAAAAAAGTGTACAAGCTCTAGGGATAACCGCACCCTGCAGAGAATTGTGACGACAAACCCATTCAAAAATGTGGGGGAGATCCACAAAGAGTGGACTGCAGCTGGAGTCAGCGCTTCAAGAACCACCACGAGGAGACTCATGAAAGACATGGGATTCAGGTGTCGCATTCCGTGTGTCAAGCCACTCTTGAACAAGAAACAGCGCAAGAAGCGTCTCGCCTGGGCCAAGGACAAAAAGGACTGGACTGATGCTGAGTGGTCCAAAGTTATGTTTTCTGATGAAAGCAAGTTCTGCATTTCCTTTGGAAATCAAGGACCCAGAGTCTGGAGGAAGAGCGGAGAAGCACAGAATCCACGTTGCATGAGGTCCAGTGTAAAGTTTCCACCGTCAGTGATGGTGTGGGGTGCCATGTCATCTGCCGGTGTTGGCCCACTCTGTTTCCTGAGGTCCAGGGTCAATGCAGCCGTCTACCAGGAAGTTTTAGAGCACTTCATGCTTCCTGCTGCTGACCAACTTTATGGGGATGCAGACTTCACCTTTCAACAGGACTTGGCACCTGCACACAGTGCCAAAACCACCAGCACCTGGTTCAAGGACCATGGTATCCCTGTCCTTGATTGGCCAGCAAACTCGCCTGACCTTAACCCCATAGAAAATCTATGGGGTATTGTGAAGCGGAGGATGCAATACGCTAGACCCAACAATGCAGAGGAGCTGAAGACGACTATCAGAGCAACCTGGGCTCTCATAACACCTGAGCAGTGCCACAGACTGATCGAGTCCATGCCACGCCGCATTACTGCAGTTATTGAGGCAAAAGGAGCCCCGACTAAGTATTGAGTGCTATACATGCACATTCTTTTCATGTTCATTCTTTTCAGTTGGCCAACATTAGAGAAACAAACATTTTTTCATTGGCCTTTAGAATATTCTAATTTTCTGAGATACCAGATTTGATGTTTTCATTGGTTGTCACCTATAAATATCAAAATTAAACGTAATAAACATCGGAAATACATTGGTCTGTGTGCATTGCATGAATATAATGTACAAGTTTCATGTTTTGAATGGAATTACTGAAATATTTTCAACCTTTTGATGATATTCTAATTTACTGGCCAGCACCTGTAATGAGTCCCCTCGAAGGATAAAGTGATTTTATTAACATCTCATAAAACCTGAATAAGGATACTGGCTTCTTGCATTGGAATGCTTTATTCAATTGCAATAAAAATATTTATAGCTAACTTTTTAAGCTAGCTTGTTTTGCAGGTTTGCCATTGTAGCTTTAATTGTTTAAATATTGTTTGTTTTTTATGCTTATGAGGTCCTACTGATACTAAATAGCTACAGAAAATTGAAATCATACCAAACTAAAGCTCAAGTCTGAGAAGGTCTATTAGATTATAAATAATTGATATTTCTCAAAACTGGCTTTTATTTTGTCAAGCAAATGCCTCGCTGAACTGTGAATGTTGGTAATTGGAGAAAATACACAAATTTTCAGTTGGAATGATAATAAGAAACACAGTTTTTATTATATCTGGCCAGGTCACATGGGGCATATGATGCAATTGCAACATTTGTAATAATATTTCTCAACATGTTTGTAATTTACTTCCCAAACGTTTCTTGCGCCGTGTAACTCAAAGTGATGAAACTGAGACGAGTTCCAGAAGCCTGAGACAACTCTGGAGCTCTTTTCTTGAAGGAATTTAGCCAAATAATTTTTTTGATTATGTTCAAAAATCTAGAGACACAATAAAGGAAGCCGTGCGACTCCCACAAGGACACAGAGCCCTTGTGAATGTTTCAAGATTTACTCCATCACCAATGCCATGTGCAATTTTGCTGCCCGCCATTCATTGCAGCCTAATGTGATACATTAACAGCAACTGAAAAATTATTTAACTCAAGAGGTGTAACTGAAAAAAGAAAATATATAGAAAAAAAAACATCTGGATCATCAGAGAGGAGAAGTGAAAAGATTAAGGCAGTCTCAGCTGATAAAAGGTATTAAAGGTGTAGTAGAAAGTTTTTTTTAACAATTGGAAACTACTTTCAGCCTCTTTATAAAAGATGAAACTTTGTTGTGGCTCACAATGGCCCAGGAGCACCATCCATTCAGCCAGGACACAAGTATTAAATGTGTGCTTACCTTGATGGCTAAATGGCGCTGCCAGTAGCTAGACACTCTGTTCTATGTGTTTCTTTGTGTGTGTGTGGGAGGGAGGTGGGGGTGGGGGTGACTGCATGGTCTGGATATTTCCAGGACGTCCTGGAATGTGAGTACAACTCCAACATTCTTCTTTGTCATTTTCCTCTCATCCAGCAAGGGCATTAGCAGTAACTCTGGCTAGCTTTAGCATTAGCTCAGGCATGTGTTAGCAGTAGCTCAGGCTAGCATTATGTTTATGTTTATGTATTTAGCAGACGCTTTTGTCCAAAACGACTAACAAGTGATAATCGGCATGTTGCCCTTGAGGCTAACAACAACAATAACAACAATTTGACAGCAATCATGGAGAGGAGGGAACAAAGGAGTGGATGGTGGTGGTGGAGGTGGTGGGGGGGTGGGGGGGGTGGGGGGGGGGGGGGGTGCAGGGAAGGTGCTAGTTAAGAAGATGCTCTCTGAAGAGCAGGGTCTTCAGGAGTTTCTTGAAAATTGAAAAGGAAGCCCCTGTTCTTGTAGTGCTTGGTAGGTCATTCCACATTTGTGGAACGATGCATGAAAAGAGTCTGGATTGTCCTGAGCGTGGTGTAGGCACTGCTAGCCGACGATCCTGTGATGACCGGAGCAGCCGGGCCGAGACGTAAGCCTTTGCAAGAGGATTAAGGCGGATGGGAGCTGTACCATCCCGCACTTTGTATGCTAGTGTTAATTATTTGAATTTTATGCGTGCTGCTAGCGGTAGCCAGTGGAGCTCAATGAACAGAGGGGTGATGTGTGCTCTTTTTGGCTGATTGAAGACCAGACGCACCACTGCGTTCTGGACCATTTGAAGAGGTCTCACAGTACTTCCTGGAAGACCAGTTAGAAGGGCATTGCAGTAATCGAGGCGGGAGATGGCAGTAGATTGCACCAGGAGCTGGGTGGCATGTTGTGTTAGGTATGGTCTGATCTTTTGAATGTTATACAGCGCAAAGCGGCATGAACGAGCAACAGAGGCAACATGATCTTTAAAGGTCAGGTGTTCATTAATCACAACACCCAGAATTCGAACTGCCTTTGAAGGAGCCAGAGATAGGAAGTCATTTTGGATTGAAATATTGTGCGGTATGGATGGTTTTGCTGGGATGACAAGTAGATCAGTTTTAGAGAGGTTGAGTTAGAGATGGTGGGATTTCATCCATTTTGATATGTCAGAGAGACAGTTTGATATTTGTGCTGAGACAGTGTGGTCGTGCAGTGGAAAAGATAGATAGACCTGGGTGTCGTCTGCATAGCAGTGGTAGGAGAAGCCATGTGATCAAATGATCTCACCCAGTGAGGTGGTGTATATGGCAAAGAGAAGAGGTCCTAGTACAGAGCCCTGGGGGACTCCTGTGGCAAGATGGTGCATGGTAGAGGATTGTCCAAGCCAAGATACACTGAATGATCGTCCTGTGAGGTACGATTCAAACCAGGCATGTGCTTTCTCTGTGATGCCCATGATAGAGAGTGTGGACAAAAGGAAGCCATGGTTGACAGTGTCAAATGCAGCCAATAAGTCGAGCAGGATAAGCACCAAGGATTTGGCAGTCGCTCTAGCTTCTTTTAAGGATTCAGTCACTGCTAACAGAGCAAATTCAGTGGAGTGGCGCTTTTTGAACCCAGATTGGTAAGGGTCAAGCCGATAGTTTTGTGAGAGGTATTCTGTGATCTGCTTGAAAGCCACCCTTTCAATGACATTGGCCAGAAAAGGGAGGAGAGCTTAGTAACAGCTCCGAGCTTTTGCAGCTGCAGTCAAGTAAAATAAAGCTTAGCAGCAGAATTATATTGTTAGTACAAAAAAACAGATTCATCTTAAAGGCACACTATGCAACCTTTTCATATTTTTAAATAATTTTATTGAGGCAGTATGTACTAAAATGACAGGGTTAATATGATTTTACTGAAACCCCCCACTGCCCTCTGTGGCCAGAATACCGCACTTGTAACTTCAGAGTGCTGGTCCAGTCCCTGTTGGACTTAGTAGAAGGAGATGACATGATAGAGCTGCAGTCTACTTCCAGCACGTTTCCTGCACATTTTACATCATTAACACGGCTGAATTGTTTGATTTAGTGATGTATCCGCTTCTGTTGAAAGAAAGAAAGAAAACGATCTTTTATATAGCGCCTCTCAAGGTAAATATCATGAGGTGCTTCACAAAAACAAAAAAAGTTATCAAAAAAAGATTT